TTCGTCCATAGAGCACGACCGTGCAGTGCCGCCCAAAATGTTTTAATGTTCTATGACGTAAAGCACGCACAATAATAAAATAAAAGACACCTCAAACAAACACTAGCCAACTATTATATCAAAACAAGGCCCTCGCTGGCGCCGTAACTGTCATTTCTATTCTATAGCGCCGTAAAACATCTACTATGCCATGCCTAAGTTCATGCGTTGTATCTAAACATAACAGGATAGTCAACAGTAGAAACCTGACCTATAAATCGCTCTTTGAGATAACCCAAGCGGTGACGACACTTGTAGTGAGTTTGAGGGTACATTAATATTAATAAGACGGCACATCTCAAATGTGCTCCTGCCGAATAGCGCCGAAACATAGACCCCAGTAAGCAATCTAAAAATAAACACCATAGACTGTGCACTATTCCATGCCAAAATTATGTGGGGCCCGGAGCAATCCAGCTTAGTGCTCAAGTGAATTGCGAATGGTTCATTGTCTTGTCGCTATTTTAAGTGACTCTGTGACCGTGAACCTGAGGGAGGTGAACGTGACATACTTAAATCACCGTCGTATGAGTTGTGCTTTTGAACAGTTTTGTTGTGGAATGGTGAAAGGTATTACTTGAGTGTTCAGTTCTAATGCAGGATGGATGAAATTGACGTTTAGCTAACAAACAGATTTAGTTCTAGAAGTCAAAGCCACAAGTAAAAAGAATGAAAATAAAAGCACAAGGTCTTCCTTCACCAACCCAAGGATCCTAAAATTATACACCATCCCATTTACTCTGCCCTTGATTATCTTCAGCCTAAGACTAAGATAGCTTAATTGTGCACGCCCAGTTTTTAGACCCACGAGCCGCCCCTGATTAGTGTGTGTGTAGGGGGGGGGGCGTTTATGTGTGACGTTTTGTAGCCATAGTTAGGGAGGTGGTTAACAGTTTTATATCCCTTGTATCTCGAAGCTCACACATGTAATACATATATTTGATTCATTTATTGATACAGTGGGGGTCGACCACGATTTTCCTTCATGGAGAAGCAAAAGCTGCCTTTTTGGCACAGTTTCATCAATTCTTCTCAAAACAGCAATGTTTGATTTTGGAGAATTTTTATCACATTTGTGTTAAAATAGTTGCTTTTGCCTCTCAGTGGAGAAAAATCTGGCTGGCTTTTACTCAATTCGGCTGGATTCGATTGGCAGTGTGCTCTACTCTATACTGGGTGCCGCCCAGTGGCCGGCTGGCTGGATCGGGTCGGGTCGGGTCGGGTCGGGTCGGGTCGGGTCGATTGGTGGCAGCTTCAGTACACACTACGAATAGATCCCTCCCTTGTTGCGTCAAATTTGATTTAGAAGTTAATAATGAAGAGAAAACTTTGATCGACGCGCAGTGCTGGTGTACACAAAACTTGCTGTTCACTATACAGCCGTGTCCTACAATAATGTCTTCCACGGCCGACAGCCGCCGGTTGCTGCGTTGAGAGGTTCTTGAATCCCACAGAACTGCAAAGTAAAGTATCGACAGCTTTCTGTTAGCATTTCGGATAATAGGCCTAATAATAATAGGCATAATAATAATAATGATTAAGATGATGATGGCTTTTCTGATTTGTGTTCACCGCACCAATCCGTTATATTCCATTCCTCCACACACATGTTTCCCCTACAACTCTCTCTCTCTCTCTCTCTCTCTCTCTCTCTCTC